TCTCTCTCTCTCTCTCTCTCTCTCTCTCTCTCTCTCTCTCTGTGTGTGTGTGTGTGTGTGTGTGTGTGTGTGTGTGTGTGTGTGTGTGTGTGACCTGGGACCTGAGACCTCGCTCCACAACTCTCGACATGTGCAAAATGAGAGTGAAAAAAACGCAAAGGCTGGCGGTGCCAACCAAAAGAAAACAAAAACGCCGATCTCGTTCTTCGACCCCTGTTTGACGCGTAGTTGGACTCCGCATTCGACTTTCAATAACCAGACATATAGAGGCCCTTCGCAGCACCTTCCTTGTGGTTAAATGGTAACCCATACATCATCCTTGATAAACCAGTAGTACCCATTCAACTATCCTACACACGCTCGTTGATAGTCTCGACCTCCTGAACCAATATGGTTGGTGGCACCACAACTGCTTCGAATGTGAGGGACAGACAAAAGGCTCAAAGGTAATTTTGGTATAAATAGATTATAAATATAAATCATGGGTTTAAAGCCTCACTACCAAGAGACCTCTGGTGCCCAATACCAACCATAAAATACGGCAATCTTAACATTTCATTGCTCCACTACTATGACAATGACATTGAAAACAAAACGTTCTCAAATACCTAGTCTGAATTGGTTTTCGACTTTCATTGGATACAACAAAATGAAAGTATATGTATATTTCTTCATTTCAACTCAATAAGTACTATAAGAGAATGATACTCCTATTAATGGTCAAACCAAACTTCCTAAAAAAGTTTATCCTTGCAACCAAGCGTCTTTCGATTTTCCATATGATTCTTTATTTCAAAATTATTGAGCTTTCTCTTTTTTTTTGTTATTTGAAATCAAGTCTGTGGAGTAATGTTGTCGAAAGTGATAGTCTAAGGCCCCTATGTTGGGCCAATACCAACTTGACGATGGACTATAATGAACTTTACAAACTTTTTCATAAGTCAACCTTTGTCGCAGATTCCTAATTTGTACAATCGGTATTCTCCATCAGTCACTGCCGTTGAAATAAAGTCTTTAGAAAAATAAGTTGGATCACATTGGCTCCATCATATTTATATATGAATATCTCGTAACATTGTTTTATAATACTTACCAATGACATAATTTTGATAAAAATAAAATAAAAAAATATATATTCATGCAATTTATTTTGCAGTTGTATAAGTTTTTTTTAATCTTATAAAATAAAAAAATCGATTTACCTCCTCGGCTGCCAAAGTGGTCCAGCCCCACATACCCACCCGGTAAACCGTAGGCAGAGAGGGAGAAGAGGACAACAAACGAGGGGCTGTGACAAACTGTTTCGTCGGAGTTTCACCGACTCATCAGGAGGC